GCTGGTCTGGCTGTGAATGCTGCAGACTGATTTAGATCCTATTTTGGTAAGTGTGCGCTTGCTTATGATTTCGCTTATAGTTTAAAGCTTATAGTTTTGGGCTGGGTCAGATTAAAATTGTTGAATTCATGGCCATATTTTGAAAGGAAGCTTTGGAGGAAACCAGGTCTAGATTGTCTGACAATTGTGGTGTAACTTGAAACCTAGTCGACGCGTATTCGAGAGGTCAAGGGTTTTGAGTCCCGGCAAGGGCAATGCACACTTTCATGTCTTCTACTTTAACCTCAAAACCTCCTGCTCAAAACATTTTTCCATTTAGATTCTATTAGAAACAAATACCACTTAATAAATGCATATTTACAAGTTTTTTTACGATATGGGAATTATATATATATACTAATTCAGAAGTCAAACAACAAAAATCAGCGTTATACCTACAAAATTTTTGTAGGTATAACGCTGATTTTTGTTGTTTGACTTCTGAATTAGTATTTATTCAGCGTGTTATTGTGTCTTAATATATATATATATATGAGAATCTGGACTGTATATATATATATATATATAAGAAAAGTAAAGAAGATTTAATTAGCAACGTAAATTTCCCTTCTCTATTCTAAAAATAGTAACCCCTCTCTGCACTGCGTCATTTCGAGAAAAATCTATGTCATATGACTCTTACGTAATTCTGGTGATGTAAACGGAACAAAAACTCTTAACAGCCAATAATAATTTTACAGCAATATTAACCATCCAATCAGAATACTTTGAGAACCAAAACTAGCTCAGTCTGACTTGAGATTTCATCCTGAACATTACAGACTTGCTTTCCACGCTTTGGCCTAGCTACACTGTTGTCTGTCTGCTGCTGCTTTCTTGCTACAAAGTTATAAAAAATGTAAGACTTTTTGGAATAGGCACATTTAATGTGCCGACTTGTGTGTAGCTGCAACATGTGCTTAAAATAAAACTGAAGATTTAATCTGCATTAGCCTCCTATTTCCTGGTCATTGCTTGTGAGTTTGGATATATTACATATATATGAGAATCTGGACTAGTTTTCAAAAAATTCCTGTTTGCTTCCTCAATAGATCATAAACTAATTTCCATATTTTTAAGATTTCCTTGAATTCTAAATTAATTATTAAAAGAAACTGAAACTAAACATGGATTTTAGTTTTGAAATTATTAATTTCTTTTAAAAAGAATGGAGATAATGTGCCGGTGACAGAGTAAATAAATTTATTGTCTATCATCCTGCACTTATATAGTCTTTTTATTTTAAAATAAGCACTTCAATGTCTCTTTATCTTCCTTGTATCCTTTCGATTGTAACAGTGTTGTAGTCATCCTGTAGCACCTATTTTCTTTACTTTATTTAGGACTATAGTCAGCCTGCACTCATAGATTTTCACAAACCAAACACACTAAACGGAAATGAAGTGGAAAAGAAAAACAATCAGTGAGCTCGACCATCTACCCCAGCTGTCGTTACCATGGTTACGAGACAAGCCTGGCGGCGAAAATGATTTTGAACTGCCTAATCTGTTACAGTTCATAGCGAGAGATCCACCAGGGGATTCAACCCGGTACCAAGAGTGTGCCGGAAGGACAAACCAAGTCATTTTATCAGTATGTTTTCTGGCAGAATTACAGCTCAAAGTAAGTCAGGCAATTAGAAGTAGCCAGAGTGTTCTCGGCATCCTTCTTTGCCAGGACGTATGCCTCTTCTTTTCACCAAATATCCACATATGTGGGAATCCACTGAAAGTGCACATCACAAGAGGACGAGACTTGAAAGTTTTGTTGCAAAATGGGAGAAATCGTTTTCCCAATATTTTAAAATTTTATTAAATTTGAATTTAAATGCAGTATATTTTAATATTAATCTACCGGCAAACTGCTTCTATTCAAATTATTTTAAATAATTTTTTAATGAGTAACACTTAAACTTCATTTCTGCCAATATTCTTCAATTTTGACGAGCACTGTGCAACTCAGCACTTTATCAAAATTAATTAATAATGCCAATGTCTCACCTACGAAACACGGTAACTATTGTTTAAACTCATTTAATAAAATGATTAAAAAAATTTTTTTAAAAATCATATTTCAGCAAAATACACAGTGGCGAAATTGCGATTTTTACGAAAATACAGTAATGCACTATGAAACTATGCGGTAAAGAATATGTTAAATATAAGTCTCCCGAAAAAGAGGAATATCTAAATCTGAATATTTAAAAGTCTAATATCGATAAAAATATCAATTAATTTTTCCCCTTTCTTGTTTACAAACATTTAATCATAAATGAATCATTAGTTACAAACATGAATACAATAGCAGCAAATATTACCTTCTCTTTAGTGATGACATTGAAATCACATAAAAAGAAGCGATACGTACTGGTATTAATTAATATCTAAAAGGTCTAGGTCGGATTTTTATACGGCGTTTCGAGCAAAAATTGCGCCATCATATTAAAACGGGTTTCGCCGTCACATCTTTAAATAGTATCTTGACTTGCATAATCCCGCTATTTTATTACATACTGATAATATTTTGAAATTTCAGATAAGCATTTCCAGGTATATGCGCCAGATTAATAGCATAATCAGGTATTACAGTGCAAACTTTACTTCCCTGTAAATGTAGCGTTTTGTTTAGTTACCCTTTCCTGCAAAGAAACAAACATTCAAGCGAATCATGCATCTCCTTCCTAATAACATTCCCCCACCCGTGAAGAGCAATTAGGACCATTTCCGTCACCATCTTTTCTAATAAGAGAGATTAGTTCCAGATATTAAATGCTCGGCATGAATCTTGGCACTCCACGTCAGGCGGCTTATGCTGACCTTGACAATCTTGATCGATTCGTCCCTCCTACCTCTCTTGCAAAGGAAAAGAGCTCCTACGCCATATACATGCACTCCCATAGTAGATTAGAATTCCAGTTCTTTTACATCACCTCCACTTGCAGTAGTGAGGTTAACTTTAACCTTTAGATGTAGGCGGAATTAGATTACGCTAACTTCTTTCTTGTAATAAGACATAATTCTTTAAGATACTTTAATCACATTTGTTTAATCTTAATTTATAACGCTCATATTTGCAATAATGAAGTCACGAAGTTTCGAAGAAAGGGGTACAGATTACGCTTCGTTTAAGCAATACAACCCTTTGTCTTAATCATAAGTATTTTAATAGCTCATTTCTGCCAGTTTTATTTTATAGTTTCCTGAGCTACTATTTCAGTTATTTAAATAATTACTTCTGATTACTTGATATATAATTTTGTAGTAGTGATATATAATATCGCTGGATACATAACAACTTTTAACTATTATTTTAAATAAAATGCATGTATGCTATATAATTCATTAACTAGTCAATGAAACTATACAATAATAATTTAAAATGAAATTCTGAGCATAATCTTCAAAAAGAAGATAATTCTTATTCATTACTGTAAAAGCTCAGAGATCAATAAAAACTTATGAAAGCTAGCTCAATTTAGTTTCCATTAACTTTCTCACTTTTCATGCAAAATGGTCTGAGTTTTAATAATGACAACATTTTATTTAACTAATAAAATTGCAATATTATATTGATTGATGTCAATGACATAAAAATCTCATTTGTCTGTAGTCCGCAAACAATGTTCAAAGACCTTGAAACAAGTTTTCAATATTTAAATATAATTTCAGCCTATTTTTTATTAATATATTGGAACATAAACCTTTTTAAAAAATCCAGTTTATTTTAGCAAATTGGTAAATTAATTTCAAAAACATGATGATTCACAACACTCAAAATGAGCACATACATGTTTCTTTTATTTACGAATATTATTAAGAATTTCCTTAAACTGCATATAATCATCATTAAGGCTTAATATGTAAATCTCGATTTTTACAAAGCAGCTTCCTTCTCTCTCTTAGCAGAAGCTTAAAATGTAAAGAATATTATAGCATTTGACAGTGGTATGTGTAAAAATATCCCGATATATTCTGATTACCCCACCTATAAACTTTTAGGGTAAAATAAATATAAATTAAATTAAACTACAACATTCTTCCCCCATAAGAACCAAAAGAATCAAATACTCGATTAGGATAAAAATACTTTTAAACAAGAATTAAAATAATAAAATTAGTAAAAAACAATTTAATTATCAACCAATTAATTAAAAAATAAAAATTATTGATCAGCAATATAGCAACTTCAATTGACCTTTACAAACTATATTTTATAAAATGATTTACGAATTGCATACTAAAATGATTCCTCGAATCTTATTTAACAATAATAGTAAAATGAAAACTCAAGTAACTCTATCAAAAATATGCAAAACGCAAAAACAGCTTAAAACATCGTAGCATACTAGAATGATTATATACCTGAAATTTGAGCTGCATTATTAGAAAGATTCCCCCTCCCAAAAGTGGAGTAGTATACACGGTCTAAATCTGAACATCGGGGGGGGGGGAGGAAACCACTGTTTCCTAAAACACACAAAATGAACTAACTGTGTTCTTCCGTGGTATTGTCAATATACGCTGCTAGATTTAAGAAGTCCATTTTTCATCCGATTGAAGTATTCATAGCACATTCATATTTTTGGGAATTTGTACAATGAAGAAAGAAGAAAAAAGAATTTCAGTACTTCAAATTTAATCGAAATACAGGTTTACACATTCAGAAATCAGCAGCTTATCGAATATGATAACTTTTTCTTTATTTTTTAAAAAGTCATATTTGGTGGTTTATCACCCTCCTTTCTCCTGAGCATTTTACACTCAGTTAAATACTCTTAGAAATTATGATTACTGACACCAAATTTTACAAACATTTCGATTTTGTAAAACACAGATTAAAGACTTTTTTACATTAATTTACTATTAATCATCTTATTACAGGCATTAAAGGGTAAGCAAATAATATCATTCGTACCTGAAGATGCAATGCAGTAAGCATATTCATCTAGTTTATTAGGGTCATTAAACAGGCAATATAAGGAGTGGATTATAATATGGTGTACTCACCGGCAACCCATGCAAAACCATTTCAGCGACGTTGGGTCCCGGCCCCAAGTCATCACCGACGCTGGCAATGCTAGAACTAGAACTGTGATAGGATCTCCTCTGAGGTGATGTCCCCTCATAACTCTGAATGGATAATCGACGATTCACAGCCTGAAATTAAACACTTTCTTGAAAACAGACAGATGTAACTTTAGACTAATACAAGCAACCAATGAAAATTTCTGATATTATATAACAGAGCAAAATCTATTGTAAGTTTAAATTTATCAGTCTAAGTTTTACTGTAAAATACTATTCAGATAATAAGCTGCGGTTATTTTATTTTTATTATTATATTATTACCAAATGATGTGACTGATAAATTTCTTTTTTATCTTTTGAACGTTTGAAGAATTCAGTAGTTAATATCGAAACCCTGTTGAGCTGACGTAGTAAAGACAAACTTTGGCAGTTTGGCAAGATTTTTTACTTTGTTCTTTATTGCATATAAAACACAATTAAACCATTATATTTCTTCTATCTATAACATTCAAATACAAAACATAAAGTTATCGTAGTAGAACAAAAATGTGCAGTTTCCAGATGTAAACCCGAAATTAATATCAGCTATAAATATAATAACATGTCTTTGCTATCATGCCATTACATTAGTTATTTCGAAAAATACGAAAATAATAACTAATACTGTTCAGCATCATATGCGGTTAAAAAAGCTAACGACTAAAGATTTAAAAATTATGAAAATACTGCTATAGAGTAAAAGAGTTCAATAATCTGAACGCAGCCAGCCAAACCTAATAATATTTTGAAAGTAACATATTTTAAAATTACGTTGATAGTTTTAACTATAAATTTAAAGATAGTTTTCCTTATTCGGCCTTAGTTTTAATTTTGAAAAAGTGAATTATTTTCGATAGCTCTAACATTTATATTCAATAAGAGTTCTGCTCTCTTTACAGCACTGACATGTTACAAACAGAACACTATGATAATTTATGAACTTACTTTTCCGTCGGATCCCGCTCCAGAAGCCCGACCACTATCCAGACTTGATAAAGAATGCCTAGATATACTACTTCCGCCACTGCTTCCACCCGGACTATGCCTGCCTGGACTGTTCATATCGATGCCTTGATCCTCTAATGAGGCTTGTGTTCCGCTCATCATTCGACCTACAAATAAATAAAAAAAATATTCTTCATACACAGTCAAGCAATTTATATACGTCTAAAACATTTAACCATTTTCAATAACAACAACAATATATATCAAACAATTTCCAATATCAAATTTACGCAATTTTGAAAACCATTTTTGAAATTCGTAAGTGCTGTCATGAGGTCTTAATCTTTACCACCAGATAAAGGGAACAGAACTCAGATTACTAAAAATTACTATACACTCATGCATTATTATACTTATTAGATAACCTAATATTACTAAAATGGACCTCCTATCTGTAAGAATTATTAGGCAATCCTAAATTATAATTAATTATTAAACAACCCAATATTATAGTAATAATCAGACAAGTCGGCAGATACATTGCCAAAAATTGTAGCTCTCTTTCCAGAAAATATTGAAGAACTGACTTGACAACAAAAGTAAGTCGTTTTAAAATCAGTTTTATTAAACAAAAAGGTTTACCTAATGTTATTGAAATAGTTAAACAAAGTCTATAATTTCCAAAAACATTACTTAAAAGATTTTCAACTTTGTTCTGCGAAAAATCGTGACAACGAAAGCAAGTCGCCTTAAATTCTTTTTATAGAAAAAATATCGTATGCTGTAGGTCAGTGATTCTCAAACTTTTTTTGTCGCGGAACACTTTTAACGTTTTTAAAATTTGGCGGCGCACAAACAAAAAGATAAGTTAAAAAATTGTTTACTTACCTGTAATACACTGTGTAAAATAGTTTATGATAATAATTTTGAATGTAAAATAAAATAATATGTATTACAATGACAGCAGTACGTCTATTAAGGGATTAATTACAAGTTAATAATAAGAATACTTTTAATGAGAAATTTGAGCTTGATGTTTTTGATAATTTCATTTATTATTTGGTCGCACAAGTGATACTGCTACTCTCATATCGTGTTCTACATTTAACAGCCTCGATCTTTTTTTTTTTTTTTTTTGTTAATACTGAAAATACACAGTATAAAACTAACTGGAATAATGTTTATAAAGCTTTTTTGGCCATTATGGGATAATCGCATCTAGTGTTAATCCAAAATGAATTAATTGATTCTTCCGAATATTTTAAAATTAAAACTCGAATGCGAAATAGGTTCTTCCTCTTCGTTCAAAGTTAATTCAAATGCAGAAGTCTTTGGGACCCAAATCGGCTTGGATATCACAACTGGCGAGCTTATTAATGTCTTAAAAACCGAATTTCGCTGTTTCTAATGCTTGCCGTATGTTAGGATTAAACCAATTATAATTTTTACTATATACATTTCTAAAATTTGGCGGCACACTTTAAGAGTTTGGCGGCACACAAAATTTCGGCGACACAGTGGTTGAGAATCACTGCTGTAGGTACTGAAAGGTATGTAAGATCATGCATTCTTTGTAAGCATATTAGTAAATAAATAAAAAAATTTTTTTTAAATTTAAATTGTGTCTTGCATTATAATAGAGCTGCCCTGACAGCAACAGACAATTTTATTTCGGTAACTAATACTATCTAATCCGCTAATAATATAAATATAGACCACGTGTGGGCAAACTTTTGTTTTGGTTGCCGGTCAAAATTAACTAAAATGTTGTATGTATAAATGATGACGTTTTGAGTCGGTGGTATCGTCATTTTAGAACTCACTTTCCTGGTAAATAATAAGATATATTTTGTTAAAATAATTACAATACGGTTTGAAACATAAAAAATTAAAATTATATGATATTATATATGTCATAAAAAATTATAATTCTAATGATTATGAAAACAAACATAACTCTATTTTTCTCCTCGATATCAATGGCTTCCCTGATAATGAACTTCTGACGCCAGTTTAGAAAATCTGTGTTGTAGTTAACTATCTTAAGACGAATATAGGCATCTGAATGTTCAGCTGCTCCTGTTCTTATTTAAAATAAATTTCATGTATGAAAATATTTTGTCGCATTTATAAGTTGATCTATATGCGGATAAAATGGCAAAGCCAATTTTTCGGAATTATGGATTATGGATCGGCGTTGCCAACCTTATCGATTTCTCCTTCAAATTATGTTACAGTTTTTTATTTTAAGATAAAAATGCATGTTCGTTACTGTAACTTTATAATCAAACAAAAATGTTAGGGTTATTATTTTATTTTCGGTTTATTTTTTTATATACTCTTTAAGTGCTCGTTTCGAATTTACGTTTCATAATTTATTTCCCCTGTAAGTAACTTAAGTTTGACTAACGTTTATTTTGTTTTAAAACTTTACTGTGCTCTCTTATTTTCCACTTCCGGCCAGAATAAACGCGTTAATCTGTTCTTGCAAATTGTATTTGCTAAGTATTTAAGTTGTGGATTTTCGCCAAGAACAAAGTTATATGGAGAGAGAGTGAGCCTTCTTGCCACTATATTTCACGCGAGATTTCAATCAGTTGCTAGAGGTTTAGTCTTCTTCAAATCTAAGACGTATTGTAGTTTTCCGCAATTTGGGTTCTACATACGTAATAATCCGAAAAGGACAACCTTAGTGTTAGTCATCTGCGTAAAGTATTCAAAGTTAGCTCTTATTTAAATTTAGTTAGTTAGTAGCTCTTATATTTTTACGTTCAGACCACAAGTGGTTGGTCTTTGTATCCCGAAGTGTGGTAGTACCTGTAATATCGTGGAGAATAAAGGTAAAGTTAACCCTTCTTACTTGTCCATTCCACACTTACACGAACATACCTTGAGTAAGCTCCCTGTTCTCATTCAGGACATTAGATGTTCCCTAAACAGATTAGAAGATCAAGCAGTCCTGATACCACATATTATCCCTTTATTTTCAGAATTCAAGTGCATCGCTTGAAATTATGAAATTGGTCACTGGGTGATCTATAGGTCATAGGTTGTCGAGACCTGATACAGAAAGTACAATGAAAAGAAAAAATTAAAGCAACGAGAGCTGACGTCAATAATTAATCAATTACTAACATTTCAAAGCTTTATTTCCTCATCTCAAAACTTTGAATACTAAGTCAGCACGTCAAATGTAAGAAAAATGAAATAAGTTGCTTAACTAGTCATCATAAAACCTACATTTGTGTTAAATGTTTCAATTTTATTAAAATTATATCAATTACCTATGCTTCCCAAATGATCAACATTTTAGAAAGAAGACATACTTACCTTTGGCAAGACTCGGCGAATGACCAGCGTCGGACGGCGTGCTTGGCAAGCTGTCCGGTTGACTGTGAACCGTAACATGGGCTAAATGTATCTAAAGATAGGAAGAAGAAATTATTTACCATGACAAAAACAACTGACACATAGGAAATTTAGTTGAGTAGGGAGGAAAGGTACCTGGCCATTAGAGCCTCCACCAGGAGTCATTTTCTTCATGGGATGAGATTGATGTGACAAAGAGTTGTTATAAAAGGGTTGAATGTAATGATTGCTTCCTGAAATGAAAACAAAGAAAATTAAAACAAACAAGTAAGGATACAAATGGGGACTTTGAAAAATGAAAATTAATGCTTTTTAGGTTTGATTGTAATGCAATAGTTGTTTAAAAACAAAATCCTCCAATTTCAGCTTGAGATAAACACAATACAAAATTTAATACTTTAAAATGCATTTTTCCATAATGTAACAAGAGAATTAATGTATAATATTACATCTACGTTTCTTCAGTCCTTTTTCACATAATTGAAAGAGCAAAGCTAAAAAAAACTTTGACAGTATATACCATATTTCAAAATGTGCTGCAATTAACGCAATATTATCCAAAACTTAAAGGTCTATCTCTAGGCATTACAGTAACCAAGCTACGTGGTTAGTTTAACGAATGTGACTGTTTATCTTCAACTTATATGTCAGCCTACTGACAGCATCACATTTTAAAATTAAAATTAACCGAATAAAGCTGCAGTTAAAGTCTGACTGCAGCTTGATTCTGTTAATAAATAAGTTCTATATCGATGACATCGAATCATATCAATCATATCATATGTTAATATGATATGCTATGATGATAATAAGTTCGAATATGATCTGTTAATAAGTAAGTTCGTTCAATAAATGAATTCGAAAAAAATAGGTTCGATATCTACGTCTCATAATACTACTATGAATTAATCTTTATTACCTTGTAAACATTTTAATGGTCATTAACACATCAAATGTAAATGACGCAAACAGTTTTCAAATACGACATACATATTGCATCTTTAAATTCACTCTAGTCATTGCCAACTCCAGTAAGGTATTCTTCAAACATATTCAGATTAAAAAGTTTTACCATTTACTGCCAGACGATTATTTAATATTTTCCTGTTTCTTGCAGGCTAATCTTTGTGCCGCTTTAATTATTATTATGCTAATATTATTAAGTTAACATATTTCAATAAGATTCTGAAAATTTTAAGAATTACATAAAAGAAATGAAAAATTAATTAATAAGGGCAAAATTTTTAGAAATTGATATAATTGAAAATAATGCCTATCATAGGTTTTCTCACTAATTCAAAATGGAAACGGAATGTTTATCAGGTTCAATTGTTCCGTCTTACTTTCTTCGGGAACATGCAAGGACCTGACTCGGAACAGAGAGCTTACTAAAGCTATGTTCAATAACTGTGGGAAGTAGACAGGATACACAAGAAGGGTATACAAAACCCTTTATTTTTCTCTCTTTACAATAATTTCCGTACTTCGGAATACAAAGACCCACTACTTGTGGTCTAAACGTAAGAATATAAAAATAGAACTAAACTCTAACTTAACTTTGAAATAATAAACGTGGAAGATTGGCCTTATATTAACAGGAAGCCGTATGTAGTACAGAGAACTGCTAACACTACAATACGTTTATCAAGAGTTATCAAGAGGATTAAACCTCTGGCCTGGAAGGCACCAGGAACTGAGTAAAACTTCTAAGGTAAGCGGCCTGCTTCGACTAACTACTTCCTCTCTCTCGCTTGGCAAAAAGCCACAACTTAAATACTTGGCTTTCGCCAGACAAATTTTGCATAAATACGTTAACGCTTATAATTCTGGCCGGAAGTAGAAAATAAGAAGTGATAGTAAAGATTTAAAATAAAATAAACGTTAGTAAAACTTAAGATCCTTACATGTTTACAAAATGTACTGTGTAATAAAATAATACTGAATAACACAGCCAGACAACAATAAAAATCCCTTTTAATCAACGATTTTAAATGATTATATACTTTGGTGCTGCTGTTTACTAACCTTAAAAAACGATTCTTTAATTCCCACCGTTTCTTGAATGGAACGCAAAATGACACAAAGTACAGGAAAAAACAACTTCAGTTACTTATGGAGTATAGATAAAAATTTCTATTCCTTATGTAATATTGATGAATAACTAACGAAAAAAAATTAAGCTTAAAATAAAATAAAATAAAATAAAATATTTAAAAAAAAAGAAAGAAAAGAAAAGAAAAAAAAATTAAGATAAAAATTTTAAATTTTCAGAAAAGTGTTCAAAAAATAGACAAAATAAGTCAAGAACAAGCTGCCAGTACACGTAATGTATTTACAGGGAATTTATGATTTGAATGAATGTTATTTATTTGAAGAAATGATTCACTTCTGCTCATTTACGAATAATGTCAAAATAAAAACCATAAAAAATTTACTATTTTACTCTTACTTTGCTCAAATCCCAGAAAATAAGTACACAGGCAAAAAAGAAGAAAATGACAATATAAATTTAAAACAGAACTTCCCAACACTTTTTCTAAAAATTTATTTCAGCACGGAGAATATTTCCTAACTAAGACAAACAAAGAAAAACGGATTTACCTTTCTAGAAATTAAAAAAAGATTTAAAATCAAAGCTTTTTAAAAGAGAAGACGCCTCAGAAGTGTTTTAACACGGCAAAGACTGAGAGAGAATTTAATTTCATCTGAACATTGAAATATTAGATTCTTCCTGGAAAAAAAAAGATCAACCTAACGACAAAGAGGCGACATTTCATTAAAAAAAAGAAAAGAAAGGAAAAGAATAAACAAAGAAAGGTGAATTTTTTAAATAATAAAAAAATCATAGCTTTTGAGGAATATTTTAAAAAGCAAAAACATTCGCAGAATAATTTAAACGGTCGAAGTCAAAGCGACAAAACAAATTATTATAATTACAGACAGACTCAGCTTCACAACTTGGTGATCCATCATTTCGAATGGCGTTCATAACGCAGCGTAGCGAATGTTTTGACAAGAAACAGCTACCGATAAAAACAAAAAACTCTAACAGCAGGGGAGGAAACGTGTTTATTTATCTTCCACAGCGATTTTAGAAACAGGATAATAGTTAAAGTTCTAAAGAATACTAATTTACTAAAGCATTTAAACACCATCAGTTATTTTTATAGCTCTATATTAATGTGGTTCCTTTACCACAAGCCCATCCCAAACATATGCACTGAGCATTTAAGCTAAAGGGATATATAAATAAAACAAGATTATAAAATGTTTAACAGAAGAATTACGGATGGTCAACAAAAACTATTATATATTTCGGAATTGTTTTCTATATATTTATGTATATGCTTAGTTCAGATAATGCACTCGGAGGTTTTGGGGGGAGTGGGATTACATACATTCAACTTCTGATTGATTTCAACTGACAGCAAAACATAAATACTTTCCTAGGAATATATGTGCACACATAAACTTCACGTCTATTTCAATTTCCATGATTAATTCCTCGCTTTATAACTTTGCAATTAGCTGTTATAATAAACTACTATGTAATTCTTAATAACAGCATAATAAGTAACATTAGCTGACACTGTTACAGTAGAAGAAACCTATAGAAATTTGCAAAGCGTCTGACAAAGATCCAATATAAAAAATATATATGTAATAACTGTGGTGATTAAAAAATATTTGCTGTCGATTTGAATCTTTAAATGAGATAAACAAAATATTCTAATCTTTCAAAATGGGAGACAGGAAGAATCATTATATCCAAAATATGTGAACAAAACGTACGCCATTAAATTCTATAAATTAGTCACACACACATAGCACTTTTTGTTTGCTATACACAATCCTTCGTTAAAAAAATAAGTTCCAAGAACTTATTTTTTATATGCGATGAATATCAACGGCAACTATTCGTATAAAGTAAAACAATGTAAAAATCAAATAAAGTATTTTTATCCGTCTACAAATTAAAACATTATTCCTGGATCAGCAATTGATCAGCAGTTGAATCTAGCTAAACACAAAGCTGGAAAACGAAAGCTTGCAAAAATATATCGGGGGAAATATCAAAGAATTCTTGAAATAGCAGATGATCTTTTGAACAAATTCAAAGATTTATAATGCAGTTAAGCCTGAAAAAGTTCCCTTTTTATTTCCAATTTAGATTTCATATTTGAGAATCTTGAAGCTAAGCTTGGAAGTCCTGATACTTAGAAAGGAGACTGACACTTAGAAGTCCTCTGATACTTAGAAAAGAAACAAAAAACGTGTTATATTAATTAACTAATTACTATGATTTAAACCTTTGTTCTAGCAATAGTTTTCACCAGGATGCAAGTTAAATGACTTTAGTGCTTTGAATATTTTACAGCTCTTAATAGCGTCGAATGCAGTTTACGCTCTAACGACCAGCTCTGCAAGTGATTTCCGGCATTAGTCAATTTGCTCGCCGATGTTAAAAACGCGCTATTAAAATGCTAAGAAAATTTTAAGTGGTCCAATATGTGTAGTTTTCGACTACATAATTTAGTTTGAAATTTAAACCTTACTTTAATGTTGTTTAAGTTAGAATACAGTGCCACTTATTGGATATGGAAAGAAACTCTCACTTGGCCATCTGGATGCCAAAGCATGCATTAGAATTGAATGTAGATAATTTCTGTAAATAGATTAGTTAGTTCTCTATTATATAGTCCTATAGTTAGTTTTAGAATTATAGAATCAAAGTATTTGGTCCGTTGAGCCGGAGTGTTACTTATACAACCTTCTTAAAATTTTATCATAGTACTTCAGACGGAGCGATAATTCGCTTGTCGGTCTAATAGGTCTGAAGAACTTTGATATAATTCTACACAACTAAGATATTACAAAAGACTGGAGTTTCAACTGCAAATTCCGACGAGCCTGTAAGTGAGATATTCTTTAGGTCAAATACATTAAAAAGTCGTACACTTTCAGCACCTACATGCTTTCATTTTTCTATGTATGTATAATATACTAATGTGTTGTGACTTGCCTTACAATAACATCAGAACACGCCTACGAAATTCATCGTGGTAAGAAGTACAAGATTACGCCTGTCGTTGGGAAGATTCTTGAACATCAGACAGGTGACAGCACGACTTTGCTTAGTTCCGCTCCCAATTTTGACGGAGAGCTGCCCGGGGAAGACGGATCTAAGGATCTTCCATCCCTCTTTCTCTACGCCAACCTCTCGAGAGGACTT